CTGAGGGTTATAATCCCTAAGTGCGGCCGAAGGCCGCCTACGCAGAAAGGTGTTCTCTGCAAAAGGTGTTCAGCTCCTTTTCTTCGCAAAACAGAAAGGAGAATTCTACTGCCTGAGGGTTATAATCCCTAAATGCGGCCGAAGGCCGCCTACGCAGAAAGGTGTTCTCTGCAAAATGTGTTCAGCCCCCCCTTCTTCGGCAACACAGAAATAATAATTCTACTAAGTAAAAATTCCGAATTAAAAATCCGCTTTTATTATTCAAAATTCCAGTCTGGTAGCACTAAGTTGTATGTTATTTTACTTCTTATCCATCGCTTATATGAAAACTTTAACAATAAATTATATAAGAACTATAGGGTTGCTAGAAAAAAGGGGGGTAGTTTTGAAATCAGGGGGTCCTATTCTACCCCCCCTCATCCCCCCTTTTTCTAGAATTTGCCGTCCGTCTACTAAAATTTTCCTCCTCATTTTAACCGGGACACAATCACAAATTTTCTCTTTTGCTATACGGCGTATACCCTACAAGAATTGAGTCATGGAAACTTTAGTTGTTTTTTTACAAATTATCCAGTAACTTGCCAGCAACTCTCCAGTAACTTTATTTCTAAGAATTCGCTCTCATAGAAAAAATTTGCAATAAAGTACGCGAACGCTTTTCCAGTAATAATTTGCAAGTTTCATGAACAGCTGATAAATTGGTTGTTTATTCGCAGCAAATTCCTAATAAAACAATATATTTTGCATTTAAATAGGTTTATTTTGTGAAATTCAACAATAAAAACCAACAAACAGTTTCCTTATTAGGGCCTGTGCCAATTGATAGAAAAGTTCTCTGGATAGTAAATTTTGACAGCTATGAGGTGAATAAAAATGTTTGATACGGCAGGGCTAGTGAAAAATTTGACAGCAAGCATTATCAAGAAGAAGAACGAACAACACATAAATTAAAGGAAACAAAAGCGAGTGGAAATAAAAGAACATGGTCCCGCCGGCAAAAAAAAATAAAGAAAAGCCATATAACTTGTAAGATTTAATTTCAGATTTACATATGAAAAGGCGTTATGTATTTTTTTAATTAAAAATACTATTTTACAGGGAGCAGTTCAGAACGCAGAATCTTTCTGGAAAAGCGCATTGACAAGGATGTTTGGTTCAGTTCAAAGAACGCCAACAGCAACGAAGGCTGGAAGTGAGTAAGAACAATATAAATAATTTGAAGACTTTATTAAGCAAATGACTTCGTACTCCACTGACCATCCGTGGCGCTTTTTGGGAATGTGAGTTACAATTTTTCGAAACGAAGCAGAGGACAACCTAAGATACATTTTTGTAGTCTTGTTATCGCCGTTCATAATGCTGCTTAGTATTTTGGAATAAACGTCTTGTTGCATGTACATAATACCCTAAAACGACATATGTTTTTATTGGAAACAATTGTACACGGTTTTAAACATTTTTGTGAACACACTTACCAGACGGTTTTGACGTGTTTTTATTTCTAATATTATTGCTAAAAGGTCTAATAAATGCATGGATTTCAGTTCCAGAAGAATTGAAATCATCAAAGGCAAATATTTTCCATATAATTGCTGCATTTTATAAATAGCAAACACGATAGTCTTCTTGGGCATCAAAGCAACTGTCAAAAATTTCCAGCAGTAAAAAGTTACGAATTGGCACAGCAGAAATGTAAAATTTTCTCACCATAGTAAAAAGTTTTTCCACCATAGAACTTTTCTATCAATTGGCACAGGCCCTTAGTTTAAATTTCATCCAGCAACATGCGATCAGCTGTTTTTTGTACTGGCGAATTCTTACAAGTACAATTTTATACAGTAAAATTAAAAAATTTCGCCTGCGGCGCTTTTTCTATAAAAATTAATACTTCGATAAATAATGAAAATTTTTAATAAAAAAACGCGCGATGGTATAGCGAAATTTGCTATTATATTTTGGTTACAATATCTTATTTAGATGAAAGTAAAAAGAAGAAGAAGAAGTGTATAGTGTATAGTGTAAACTGAGTATAATAGCGCAAATGAAATGTGAAATAAAGTGGCAATACCAGCGATTTGAGGTTATAATAATTTTAGCAGGCGCAAAGTTTTTTTACTCTGTTTTATTAACGAAATATATACAATAAAAGAGAATAAATGATTTGGTTTGCATAAAATAATAACCGGAAACGTTTTAGTAGTGTTTTAAAAGTGGAATCTGGTGATTTAGTGCATTTTTGACGTGGTAATTGCTCATAGAAAACAACGAAATTTAACAAAAGTTTTTTGTTCATAACTTTTAAATGGTTCATAATATTATATCCCCCCTCCGGATTGTTATTAGGGGGGCCGAAACGCGTCGTTTGGTACCCCTCCCGACTTTTCCGCACCATTTTTAGGGGTTGTTACCCCACCCTAGAGAATTACCGAATTCTCTTCTGTGTTGCCAAAGAAAGGGGGCTGAACACCTTTTGCAGAGAACACCTTTCTGCGTAGGCGGCCTTTGGCCGCACTTAGGGATTATAACCCTCAATACGTAGAATTCT